GTCACATTTAAGACAAGAGTCCTTCATATCAGTCGCTACAACAATACACAAAAATTAGAGGGAAGGCATGGATGACAGGACTACTGGTGTTACCATACCACCCAAGCTAATTCAGAAATCTGATGACAAGGATGAACAGTTTCAACACCTATATGTTCGTCTAGCCACTAGGTTTTCCCCTCTGTACAGTGTATATGCAAGATATAAGAAATTCCAAATTGATTCATTACCCATATCCTCGGCGCAAAAAAAAAACATGGGAAATCTCAATGCTAGATGGACATTCTACATTCGGAGAAAGTCACTTTAAAGAAAATGGCGAAGACTTTTAACATTTTGTGAACAACAGATCTATAACAATACATAATACAGGCAGAGAAATGTATGTGGCGGGAGACAAGCTAGATTATGCAACTGGGATAATGCCAGGAGTGTACGTTGCAAAGCTAATCACTAACCACTTTGCAACAGTAACGAGATGCATAGCGAATAACAATAGTCAAACCGTAAAAATAAGCTTTAGAAAATCTGTATTCCTCGCCATCTTGAATACAGCTTTAAATTCGCAAAAACGAGCTTTAAAAAAATCTGTATTCCTCGCTCTCTTTTATGTTTAAAATCTTACTGTGAACAAAATTTTCCTCGATTTTTTAGTCAAACCATAAAAATAAGCTTTAAAAATCTGTATTCGTCGCCATCTTGAACACAGGTTTAAATTCGCAAAAACAAGCTTTAAAAAAAATCTGTATTCCTCGCTCTCTTTTATGTTTAAAATCTTACTGTGAACAAAATTTTCCTCGATTTTTTTTATCTTGGAGACCCCTGCTCAAGCTCTAGAGAAGCAGAAGTGCAAAAGATAGGTCATTTCGCCTCCCAGCGTGGACCAACCCAAGGTCTATAAGTATAAATATATATAAGTAGAAGTAAAATAAGTACATGTATGTATATATATGTATAAGTATATATAAGTATGTATGCATAAATATATATAAGTATGTATGCATAAATATATATAAGTATGTATGCATAAATATATATAAGTATGTATATATAAGTATGTATATATAAGTATATGTATGTATAAATATGTATAAGTATATATAAGTATATATAAATATATAAAAATATATGTGTATATAAATATGCATAAGTATATATAAGTATATATAAATATATAAAAATATATGTGTATATAAATATGCATAAGTATATATAAGTATATATAAATATAAGTGTAAGTATATATAAGTATAAGTATATATAAGTATAAATATATATAAGTATAAACATATATAAGTATAAACATATATAAGCATAAGTATATATAAGCATAAGTATATATAAGCATAAGTATACATAAGTATAAGTATACATAAGTATAAGTATACATAAGTATAAGTATACATAAGTATAAGTATACATAAGTATAAGTATACATAAGTATACATAAGTAAAAGTATACATAAGTAAAAGTATACATAAGTAAAAGTATACATAAGTAAAAGTATACATAAGTAAAAGTATACATAAGTAAAAGTATACATAAGTAAAAGTATACATAAGTAAAAGTATACATAAGTAAATGTATACATAAGTAAAAGTATGCATAAATAAAAGTATAGATAAGTATAAGTATAAATAAGTATATGTATACATAAGTAAAAGTATACATAAGTATAAGTATACATAAGTAAAAGTATACATAAGTAAAAGTATACATAAGTATAAGTATACATAAGTATAAGTATACATAAGTATAAGTATACATAAGTATAAGTATACATAAGTATAAGTATACATAAGTATAAGTATACATAAGTATAAGTATACATAAGTATAAGTATAAGTATACATAAGTATAAGTATAAGTATACATAAGTAAAAGTATAAGTATAAGTATAAGTATACATAAGTATAAGTATAAGTATACATAAGTATAAGTATAAGTAAAATAAGTACATGTATGTATATATATGTATAAGTATATATAAGTATGTATGCATAAATATATATAAGTATGTATGCATAAATATATATAAGTATGTATATATAAGTATGTATATATAAGTATATGTATGTATAAATATGTATAAGTATATATAAGTATATATAAATATATAAAAATATATGTGTATATAAATATGCATAAGTATATATAAGTATATATAAATATAAGTGTAAGTATATATAAGTATAAGTATATATAAGTATAAGTATATATAAGTATAAATATATATAAGTATAAACATATATAAGTATAAACATATATAAGCATAAGTATATATAAGCATAAGTATATATAAGCATAAGTATACATAAGTATAAGTATACATAAGTATAAGTATACATAAGTATAAGTATACATAAGTATAAGTATACATAAGTAAAAGTATACATAAGTAAAAGTATACATAAGTAAATGTATACATAAGTAAATGTATACATAAGTAAATGTATACATAAGTAAAAGTATACATAAGTAAATGTATACATAAGTAAAAGTATACATAAGTAAATGTATACATAAGTAAAAGTATGCATAAGTATAAGTATACATAAGTAAAAGTATAAATAAGTATATGTATACATAAGTAAAAGTATACATAAGTATAAGTATACATAAGTAAAAGTATACATAAGTAAAAGTATACATAAGTATAAGTATACATAAGTATAAGTATACATAAGTATAAGTATACATAAGTATAAGTATACATAAGTATAAGTATACATAAGTATAAGTATACATAAGTATAAGTATACATAAGTATAAGTATACATAAGTATAAGTATACATAAGTATAAGTATACATAAGTATAAGTATACATAAGTATAAGTATACATAAGTATAAGTATACATAAGTATAAGTATACATAAGTATAAGTATAAGTATACATAAGTAAAAGTATAAGTATAAGTATAAGTATACATAAGTATAAGTATAAGTATACATAAGTAAAAGTATAAGTATACATAAGTATAAGTATAAGTATACATAAGTAAAAGTATAAGTATACATAAGTAAAAGTATACATAAGTAAAAGTATACATAAGTAAAAGTATACATAAGTAAAAGTATACATAGGTACTTTTATAGACTTTGGTCCAACCCGCTCAGGGTCCACGGGCAAGGGGTCAGCGCAGGAGGCTGTAATGAGCTGACCTTATTTCCCCTGACCTCGCCTCTGCTAACCTTTCGCAGAGGTCACGACCCTTGAGCTAACGAGGGAAAAAAGTATCCTGGACCTGGAGTTAAGTATTCGTGGTTCTTACATCGTCCAGGCATGATAGCGTCATTTTTTCCTTCCAGTATTCTCAGACAAGAAAAAAATGAACTCCTTCGATTCACGAGAACGGAAAATGAGTTTGGTGAGAGTTGGTGTAGGCGAATGAAGATCTTATCAAGAACTAGCGACGTGGGGGAAAAAACGACTATGTTTAGCTTAAATTAGAGGTGTTTGATTACTTTACAATCCTGAATGTTGAATGCAATGGACACCGACAAACTATTAAAAGACGGCGTTTTAGAGAACAAAATGACAAGAAAATAAGATAAGAATCTCGTACACAGCTGCGCCCGTAATTATTTCCCAGACAAAACAAAGTAGGACCAGTTATCCATATAAGTAAAAGACTGGCTTTATTACACATACACAGAAGAAGAAAACAAGGAAAAGAAAGACCAATAATGTACTTACATCGGAATTGAAGACAGAGGGCGACCCATTTTGAATTCTGTGATGATCCGAGCGGCCAAACGAGAGAACACAGGACTCCGGTCACTTTCTAATGTATAAAAATGCTCTTAAGGCTTTTTTTGAGAATTCGATAAGGTCTATATGCGATCAGTAATACCCAGCGTAGTCGTTTTGCCTTCTTGACGGGGGAAAGAAGTGTTTAGAGCCACTATAGATAGGCGAAGAGTTTGGAAAAGGTGAGAGGCGGGAGTTAGCGTGTCGTCACAGAAAAGGTCGGACTAGGTTTGAGGTGACCTAGCTTGGGTCAAGACGGGGGGGGGGGGGGGGCGACGCGTGTGATCTCTGTGGCTACGCCCGGTGGTGGACGCTATCTTTTAACTGGCCGCATGGAATAGGGATATATATATTTTCTCTCTTTCTATCTATCTTGTCTCTCCCTCTCTATGTTTGTCTGTGTGGCTCTCTTTCTCTCGCTTTCGCCTCCCCCTCTCCACCTTTCTCTCACTTTCCCCTCCCTTTCTCTCTTACTCTCGCTCCCCCCTTCACCCTCTCATGTATTTATTGTAAACCGTGTTCAAAATATGGTACTACCATAATCTTTAATATAGCATGCGTATCCACCAGACACCACATAATGAACGTGTACGCTCTTCTCGGCGATTTTGTCATGGACATCTTAAAAAATTCGAAATTCGCGCTCTGAAATCCACTTTGACCTCACTTCAGTACACGAACCGACCCCATGTTTCCTCTCCTTTAATCTCTCGGAGTTTAATAATCCTGATTTTTTTCAATAAAAAAATATATCGCTACACCTAATACTAATATACACGTAATGTAAAAGAAAATGTTAAAATCGTATATTAGTCAAACAACTAATATATCAGTTCATGAAAAAGCATTAGCATTATAATATAAAAGAAATTGGAATCGATAAATTAATAGATTGAAGACAATAAATTTTTTTCGCGTTCATTTAACTCTTAACGATGTCAATAAATAATTAAAATCATATATCTTATCTTCCTTAATCATTGACAACTACGTTTATTAGGTTAAAAAATACCTCTTAGAATTAGCATTTGCGCATGCGTGTGTATTATTTTTATTTTCATTTCTAAGCCATTATGATTTGGTTCCTGTCTTTAAAGATTTTTCTATTTTTAGCAACAATGGCAGTAACATAGTAACATCCATGTTACTATTTCATATTGACTTACAAGAAATATATAGCATTCTGGGGGGTAAATAAATAAAAATAATTATTTATCAAAATATTTATTTCAAAATAATTCTCTCCTTGAAAAAAAGCCTTTCAACAACTATAGTATATTTTATGCAGTGTAAACAGTAGGAATAATTGTTTTCCAAAGGGTATTTCTCAAGGAAATTGTGACAAAGTATGATAAACATGGATTTTAAATCATGAGAATTTTGTGCGCGCGTGTACGTATGTGTTTCTTCACTGAATGTGTTTATTATGATAAATAATACATTTTTGTCTGTGTTTTCCTCGACAGCGAAAAAGACTACGTACTTGGGATGGGCTTTAGGACTGAGGCCAATGATGACAACCTGTCACACAAACCAATGCAAAAAAAGAGCATCAGCATCATAGTACTGACTGAACCGGAAGAATGATCCTCCATCTAGGATGCTTGGACCCACGTAAACGCCACTGAATACAACAAAGTAGACCTGATACAAGCAAGACTATTCGAGATTCAGATTGAGAGATTCGGGATAAGGGATCTGGAATAAGAGATCAGGGATAAGTGACTGGGGATAAGTGACTGGGGATAAGTGACTGGGGATAAGAGAATGGGGAAGAATCGAATGACATAAGAGTAAAACAAGAAGAAAAAAGTCTGCGACGACCGGAGACTGAAGGAAGGTCGGAGATGAAGAGGAGAGAAAAAGAGGCGAGAGTGAGAGAGAAAAAGGAGCGAAAGAAGAGGAAGTGAGAGAAGAAGAAAAGGGTTCGTTGGGAGTGACAAAAAAGAAAATGAAGTGGGAATAAGAGAAAAAAAAGAGAGGACAGGATGGGACCGAGATGAAAAGAAAAATAAGTTGGAATGAACGAAAGCATACAGTAGAAGTGAGAAAAAAATGAGAGGGCTAAGTGGGTGAGAGGAAGGAAGATGAAGAAACGAGAATGACAGGAAAAGAGAAAGAAGTGATAGTGAAAGGAAAGGGGGATGAGGAAGAATTGGAAGTGAAAATAAAAGGGAGACAGTAAGACACAAAATTCGCCCGTGGAATCAGCAACGGAAACCACCACCACCAATAACTTGTCCCTGGATCTCCTCGCCGTCTTTTAATATAGCAACCATTAGCCATAACTCGGAAGAGAATAAAGAACAGACCGATTTCCATAACACTTCGATCTGTTACTACCTTTTGGAAACACTCAGTGGAAACGGAATGGCACTAACGCTGATAACCGTGATTATCAAACTGTATTCTATACGACTAACACCTGGCCGTGGAAAGCCCTAGAGTGTTGCTGCAGCAGCGCCTCCATCAGGTCAAGGAACTGATTCTCCTTCTCCTTCTGCCCTCCTTCATCCATCTCCTTCTGATCTATCGGAGGAGCTGGAATTCTACGACCGATTGGGTTCCTTAGAAGGATGGTGACGGTCGCTCCGTGTCCTTGGAAAGTCTGCCTGACGTCTTCCTGAAGGGCGGGGATGTCGAGAGACCGGTGGAAGGACCCGGCCTCCTCCTCCGTCTTAGCCTTGTCCTCCTCCAGCGATAGGATGAGAATCAGACACGAGGCACCGACGCCCAGCCCTTGCCTCAGCTCCTCCAGATGGGGGCGGAGACTCCGGGGACGTCCTCGAAGGGAAGTCGCCGCCACCACCGCGACCGAGGGCCTTCCCCTAGCGTCGCTGGAGAGGCGCTGTAGATCCTGGAAGCTGCGATAACACCCATGGCTCGAGGAGTGAGACCGGAGGCGGGGTTCGAGGAGCCCAATCACTCGGGTGCACTCCGCGCCGCATTCGAGCCTCCAGCCGTCGTCGGCGCCCCCGTCAGAGTTGCTATCTGAGGCCAAGGACGTCGGGAAAGGCACTGCGGCCCTTGTACTCCTCCCGGCGTTCTCAGTAGCGAGCTCCTCTCTCCCTAATCCCGCGGGCGAGGTTCCCAGGCTGTCGACGGGTGGAGGGGCGCCGCAGAGAATGGCGATGTAGCGCGTGTGGCGTGGCAGGACGGCCCGCGCCACCACTAAGTCACGCGCCTCCGTCACCTGTTCGTGGAAGGGGCGAAAACATTTAGTAACTAGAATGATAATGGGGTTTAACGTTGTACGTACAAAACTGAATTGAATATGTGAAATTAGTCAGTAGTAGATGTGAAGAATCCGTAGTAAATACATGCACACAGACAAATTATAGTCAAATTATACAGAATCAAATTAAGGGGTAAATCCACGAGAAGAAATAATCTACAGTAAAATAATATGTAGAATCAATTCATAAGAAATGTATGCAAACCCTTCACAATGAAATAAAGTGTAGAGTCACCTTAGAGTAAACGAATGTGTAAAAACAATTAATAGCAACTTAGGATGACTTTAGAGTAAAAGAATGTCTCCCTTTAATCTATAATAAACAGTGTCTAAAACCATTCAATACTCAATACTTAATCAACATCTTTTAATAATTAATCGCTTACAGAATAACATTAACCCATCATAGCGCCCTACACAGTCTTCTAAAATCA